TAGATCGTGAACTTTGGGAGAAGCTTGAAACCACTGGTGTTTTGCACAAGCACCTTATCGACAGAGTATTCAAAGATAATTTACAAGGCAATGGAAACAAATCACTACAGCAAAGTGTTTTGCACATGATGGAGATGTACGGTTTTCTTGCACGGTTTTGTCCTGGCAACCATTCAGACACAGAAGCGACAGAAGAGACCAAGTACTTTGTGCCAGCGCAACTGGGAAAGTCAGTGGGTGATCTGTGGTCCCTTACACCACAGGACAGTGATCCATGCCCACTTGTTTTTACGTTCTGTGGTGGATTTGTCCCCCATGGTTTGTTTCCACAACTTGTTTCTCGTCTTATTGCACGATCCTCGGAGCTGAAGTGTGTTCAAGCACCCAAACTGTATTGCAATGGTGCGCACTTCTTTCTAGGTCAGAAAAGTGAATTTGATCTTGTTCTTCTTTGTAGTAAGCGTGGCATCAAGTTGGTGTTTAAATGTTATAAAAATGCTTCGACCAACCGGGAAGACCTGTCGACAGACTCTCCTGCCGTTAAAGTAAGAACTTTATTCCAAGAAGAACTGGAAAGCTTATGCAGACAGTGGCACTGTTTTGGCAATGTACGTTATGAAATTTGTGTTGTGTGCTTGGCGTGTACACGCAGTTCAAAAGTCCAATGTGAACGTCATAAATCAGCTTCATGTTCAGATCAGGACTGCTTGCATCTTCTTCCCATCACAAATGTTGAACCTGAGACATTATTGACCTGCCCTAAACAGATTGGCGATGTGTCGAGATTCACACTGACTGGTCTTCACAAGTGGTATCCCTGTGTCAAATCCGAGGTGAGTATTATTTACTTAATGTCAGGTCAGGAGGGAAACATTTTTGTTTTCTGGAGTGTCCTGATATGTCTCGATGAAGTCGAGAGAAACAAAAGGAAAACAAAACTAAAACTTTTCCCGAGGGAACTGACTAGTGTAAAAAGTGTACATGATACGTACAAGAAATTCCTAATAATAGAGTAAGAATAAAACCTAATAAATTAATACAAGGAAATGAAATATCAAACCTATTAACAATTAAAACTACTTTAAACTCATCGCTAATGATGAGCTTGGAGCAGGTGCCTTAAAGGTTAGTGGGGGGCCAAATGCAATAAGCAGAGAGGAGGTATCCATGGCAACCCTGGAAGCGGGAACCACCCCAAGAGCAGCCACTAACCGGCACCGTCACACTGAATAAATTCAGTGGATACTTACCTAAGAGAATACTTACCTGAGAAAATACTTACCAAACCACCAGGCAGGGAGGGAGGAGAGGGAGGAAGAATCCGCAATGATTCGCATGAAGGCAAACATTGATCCGCTACGATCAGCAAGAATCCGCAATGATTCGCAAGAAGGCTAAAAATGATCCGCTACGATCAGCAAGCAAAGCTACAATGCAAAGCAACACTAGCAAAAGGGCACACAAGGAGTTTCATCGAAGATGACAAACAGCTTGACGCCATGTTGAATTATTACCACGACTTGGGACTGATTGTGCGTTTCAGGGATACAGTTGTCCTTGATACTCAGTGGCTGATAAATCTCTTCAAAAATCTCAGCACCATTCGACCTTATCAAGAGCAGGTTGGTCTGCAAAAATAAGTTTTATGCAGAATGTTAAAATTGATTTAATTCAGTACTCTGGTACATCAAGTATAGTAAGGGTAAATATTGATGAATAGGTGAACTTTTTGATGGAAATTGTAGACTGTTCATACATTTACTACCCTATTGTTCCGTAAGGTCGTTGAGATCGAGCGCCTACTGTGATGAGCGGTCATCTTGGTTTCAAAAGCATCAAATCTACTGGGGGACGTAGGGACGAGTAAAACCCTACACCCGCTCCCACAATACGTATGAGACCATGATGGATGCTCATTACAGTAAGCACCCAATCTCGAAGATCTTACGTAAAAACAGGGGACTGTGAAAAGTCTATGGCAAACGTTTTGTTCAATTTAATCGGGCTGGTTGAAACTCATTATCATACATTACCATATCACAGCAGTTTTACCATTGTTTCTAGAACAAATTTTATTACAAAGTTTCTGTGAAACGAAGATAATGAAAGAAACCACATATCAAGGTACACTCCTTGCTTTCTCAAGGTGGAGTTCAATGCAACAATATTCATCAACGACAACATGAACTTTAAGGCTGCCATGAAAAGCAAACTTATGGTCTGTGAAACTAACGAAAAAACACGTAAACTTAATATGAGCTAATATTGTTAGAAACGCTCGCTTTGTATTTACAAAAGCCACGTCTGGTTATATATTTCTTGCTCTCTCATTTCTAGACTATAAAACAAGTATCATACTTGTCTTTATTCATTCAAATCGTTTCCCGTTTCTGATTGGCCTAAATCTCCCGTTTTTTTTTTCTTGCTAATGTTCAAGTTTGGACAATTTACGTCATTTGTCTATAATTTTTTGGTTATTAGGCGAAAGACGTACCGTAACAGAAAGCTGAAAAAGCAAAAAATAGTTGGAGGAGATTTTATGTGGTTATGAACAATAGTGGACTGCATGCAAGGAATCGTTGCTTGAGAGAAAAAATTGAATGACCAAAATTGTAGCCTTGGTTCTTGTGATACATTCTGGGATAAAGGGAACTAAAGGCAAACAATAGATTGTAATGTTTTAAAAAGGACGCAAAAATGTTTTAAAAAATTTCTGAAGCTAAAAGTAAGTACATTGTTTTATTCTTACCAGGATCCTTTAGATCGTGAACTTTGGGAGAAGCTTGAAACCACTGGTGTTTTGCACAAGCACCTTATCGACAGAGTATTCAAAGATAATTTACAAGGCAATGGAAACAAATCACTACAGCAAAGTGTTTTGCACATGATGTGTATCAGTGAAAATCGGTTGGAGCTCAGGGAATTTTGTCGGAAAAACATCCATTTAAAATTGGTAACGCTGTCATTATTTTCTTTGAATTTACTACATTTATTGTTTATATTTGATTCGCCAAAGTTTTAAATATGTCGTGATTAAATGCAAGTATAATGCAGGTAATCGATTCATGAACTGTAACAAATAAGAAAGGAACAGAGACCAGACCAGTAGAGAACTTGAACAGAATTGCGTCACTTTTGATGGCAATAGTATATGACAGTGAAATATGCTTTTCCCCCACAGTTGATGAGTGGTGTTCCTCAGGTTCTCGTTGACAAGCTTTTATCGTCCGTACCTACACAAGACTTCACTATCTCCTCTGAGGATTCAGTTGATGGCTATCAAGAGAGGCGTACTCAGAAGCCGGATATTACGATGCCAAAGGAGCTAACCCCACTTGTTGCAGAATTTCTTAGACGACAAGAAAGCCAGGATGGGGAGAGTAATGACAGGGAAACTGTTCTTGACATCTGGGACTTTGCTGGTCAGCACTTGTACTACGCTACGCACCCCGTTTTCTTCTCCCATAAAGCTGTTTATCTTCTGGTTCACAACTTGAGCAAAAACCTGGATGAACTGGCAGAACCATCAGTTAAGCATGGAGGGCATACCGTGCCTCTGACGAACACCTCTAATGAGACCAATCTGGACATGTTATTGTCCTGGTTGGTGTCTATTCACAGCATCCGCCATCCCTCAGTGGATCATGACTTTATAAACACTTGTAGATCAACCCTTCGTTGTCTACCCCCTCCTGTGCTTTTAGTAGGGACACATGCTGACAAGGTCTCTGCAGGACATATAGAAGAGGCACATGCTAAGATCACGTCAAACTTAAAAGGCAAAGCATTCCAGGAGCATGTGTTGGGTCCATTTTATAGAGTGGACAACACCAAGTCATCTGACTCACCTGGTGTCAGAGATATACAATTAAAAGTTTGGGACATTTTGTCATCCGGTTTGGATTGTTTTGCAGACTTGCCTGTCAAGTGGTTCAACTTTGAAAAGGCTCTGAAGGAACTGGCCACTGAAAAGTTTTATTTGACACTTAGTGAAATACAGAACGTTGCACGGCGAGACTGTTTCATCGAAGATGACAAACAGCTTGACGCCATGTTGAATTATTACCACGACTTGGGACTGATTGTGCGTTTCAGGGATACAGTTGTCCTTGATACTCAGTGGCTGATAAATCTCTTCAAAAATCTCAGCACTATTCGACCTTATCAAGAGCAGGTTGGTCTGCCAAAATAATTTTTATGCAGAATGTTAAAATTGATCCAGTTCAGTACTCTGGTGCATCAAGTATAGTAAGGGTAAATATTGATGAATAGGTGAACTTTTTAATGGAAATTGTAGACTGTTCATACATTTACTACCCTATTGTTCCGTAAGGTAGTTGAGATCGAGCGCCTACTGTGATGAGAGGTCATCTTGGTTTCAAAAGCATCAAATCTACTGGGGGACGTAGGGACAGGTAAAACCCTACACCCGCTCCCACAATACGTATGAAACCAAGATGGATGCTCATTGCAGTAAGCACTCAATCTCGAAGATCTTACGTTGTGAAGCGAAGATAATGAAAGAAACCACATATCAATTTTATTAGAAAGTTTCTGTGGTACACTCCTTGCTTTCTTAAGGTAATGGAGTTCAATGCAACAACATTCATCAACGACTACATGATCTTTAAGGCTGCCATGAAAAGAAAACTTTTGGTCTGTGAAACTAACGAAAAAGCACGTAAACTTAATATGAACCAATATTGTTAGAAATGCTCGCTTTGTATTTACAAAAGCCACGCCTGGCTGGTTATTTTTCTTGCTCTCTCATTTCTAGACTATGAAACAAGCATCATGCCTGTCTTTATTCATTCAAATCGTTTCCCGTTTGTGATTGGCCTAAATCTCCCGGGTTTTTTTCTTGCTGACGTTCAAGTTTGGACAATTTACGTCATTTGTCTATAAATTTTTTTGTTATTAGGCGAATGACGTACCGTAACAGAAAGCTGAAAAAGCAAAAAATATTTGGAGGAGATTTCATGTGGTTATGAACAATAGTGGACTGCATGCAAGGAATCGTTGCTTGAGAGTGAAAAATTTAATGACCAAAATTGTAGCCTCAGTTCTTGTGATACATTCTGGGCTAATGGGAACTAAAGGCAAACAATAGCTTGTAATGTTTTAAAAAGGACGAAAAAATGTTCTAAAAAAGTTCTGAAACTAAATATAAGTACATTGTTTCATTTTTACCAGGATCCTGTAGATCGTGAACTTTGGGAGAAGCTTGAAACCACTGGTGTTTTGCACAAGCACCTTATCGACAGAGTATTCAAAGATAATTTACAAGGCAATGGAAACAAATCACTACAGCAAAGTGTTTTGCACATGATGGAGATGTACGGTTTTCTTGCACGGTTTTGTCCTGGCAACCATTCAGACACAGAAGCGACAGAAGAGACCAAGTACTTTGTGCCAGCGCAACTGGGAAAGTCAGTGGGTGACCTGTGGTCCCTTACACCACAGGACAGTGATCCATGCCCACTTGTTTTTACGTTCTGTGGTGGATTTGTCCCCCATGGCTTGTTTCCACAACTTGTTTCTCGTCTTATTGCACGATCCTCGGAGCTGAAGTGTGTTCAAGCACCCAAACTGTATTGCAATGGTGCGCACTTCTTTCTAGGTCAGAAAAGTGAATTTGATCTTGTTCTTCTTTGTAGTAAGCGTGGCATCAAGCTGGTGTTTAAATGTTATAAAAATGCTTCGACTAACCGGGAAGACCTGTCGACAGACTCTCCTGCCGTCAAAGTAAGAACTTTATTCCAAGAAGAACTGGAAAGCTTATGCAGACAGTGGCACTGTTTTGGCAATGTACGTTATGAAATTTGTGTTGTGTGCTTGGCGTGTACGCGCAGTTCAAAAATCCAATGTGAACGTCATAAATCAGCTTCATGTTCAGATCAGGACTGCTTGCATCTGCTTCCCATCACAAATGTTGAACCTGAGACATTATTGACCTGCCCTAAACAGATTGGCGATGTGTCGCGATTCACATTGACTGGTCTTCACAAGTGGTATCCCTGTGTCAAATCCGAGGTGAGTATTATTTACTTAATGTCAGGTCAGGAGGGAAACATTTTTGTTTTCTGGAGTGTCCTGATATGTCCCGAGACGAAGTCGAGAGAAACAAAAGGAAAACAAAACTAAAACTTTTCCCGAGGGAACTGACTAGTGTAAAAAGTGTACATGATACGTACAAGAAATTCCTAATAATAGAGTAAGAATAAAACCTAATAAATTAATACAAGGAAATGAAATATCGAACCTATTAACAATTAAAACTACTTTAAACTCATCGCTAATGATGAGCTTGGGAGCAGGTGCCTTAAAGGTTATTGGGGGGCCAAATGCAATAAGCAGAGAGGAGGTATCCATGGCAACCCTGGAAGCGGGAACCACCCCAAGAGCAGCCACTAACCGGCACCGTCACACTGAATAAATTCAGTGGATACTTACCTAAGAGAATACTTACCTGAGAAAATACTTACCAAACCACCAGGCAGGGAGGGAGGAGAGGGAGCAAGAATCCGCAATGATTCGCAAGAAGGCAAACATTGATCCGCTACGATCAGCAAGAATCCGCAATGATTCGCAAGAAGGCTAACAATGATCCGCTACGATCAGCAAGCAAAGCTACAATGCAAAGCAACACTAGCAAAAGGGCACACAAGGAGCCCTGCGATTCCCCGCGGGCCGTCCCGTAGGTCACATACTGAAGTGGGAGAAGACCGCTGGCTAACTCGCTCGAGTTTAACTTTGCCTAAATTATATTTAGCCACATGTAAAATTCCGAAAATAAGCCCGGGGCTTATATTTTTCAAAGGCCCTTTTTGAGTGGTTTATCTATGGAGAGAATTTGCGTTTTAAAATCGATTGGGCTAGCCCCATAGTTGGAAGGAAATTTACCGTTTTTGCTTTGTTTTACTTTGTATTGGCGGGCAAATATAAGGCCCCCAAACTCCTAACGCAAAAAATCAACATGGAGGTGCTTATTTTCGGAATATTACGGTATTCTCCATGATAAAAGGGTTTTGAGCCGACTAGGGTAATTACAAATAGCTAGGATAGGCTGGGCCGGGATTTTAAACAGTAAGTCTTTCCATCCAAATTTTTTTTTTTTTCATGCAGAAGTGAAGTGCGTTCCTAGGAAATTAGTATTCTCCTAACATCTTATTTATAATCTTTTAAGCGCCCAACGAGGCTACTATTTATGTGTTAAAATTCAACGTAAAAGTGAGGCAAAGGACGCGAATTCACCTGTTTATTTATACACCGATTTATTCATTTTGTTTGTGTCCTATAACCTCACAAAGAAGTTGAATGAAGCGAAAATAGCCTATTATAGAATGGGTTTCACTTCTCAGAGTTTTCACAGGTTTATCGACCCCACTGCTAAATTCCTGGCGGAATAATCCAAATTACAGTTACAGGTGAAAAGGAAGCTGGAGTGGACCTTGTTTTGAAACTTCCCTTCCTGCTTTATTATTAATTTAAAATCATGTTGTTCTTATTATAAGTAGTAGTTTTTAAGCATGGTTTTCACAAGAAGAGGAAGGAGGTTTGTATTAGAACAAGGTCAACCACAGTCTCACGTTCACTCAAAGGCTTGGATACTAAGCTAACACCAGTAAAATGGACTGTCGCCACTTCCACATTTCCCATAATGCACCTTATATGCCCCCCAATTTCTCTTGTGACGGCTGTAAAACCTAGGAGAAATGAAAACCAAAGGGTATGCAAAATTTGGGGGGCAAATAAGGTGCAGTATGGGAAATGTGGCGTATTAGCTTCTTTACGCAAGTCAAAGGTTTTGAGTTTCGTAGTATCTGAGCGTGTTTTTTGCACGAGATACTGAAGTTAAATAAATTTTATCCTATTCACCTAAAATTAACTTCTATGTAATTTGAAGATTTTTTCGTTTCAACATAATCAGCCAGCGAGAAACCATATAAACGCTAAACGATAGAAGTGCTTCCTTGGTAACACGTCAAAGGGGCAGGACGCGACAGCTGGTAACTGATTTGTGTTTTGGTCTTTTCTCACAAGGAAAAACCTCACGAAAACCAACGCAAACTACGAAAGGTTGCAGACATCGATATTCTCAATCTGGCAGGTGAAATCACGTGCAAGAAATGGAAAGTTATTGGACGAATCTTGGGTCTTACAGATCCTCAACTGGATCAGATAGAGATGAACAAGCAAAACGACGTGTACGAGCAATGTTACGAGATGCTGAAAACCTGGAGAAACAATCAGAGTTCTGCTGCAACCTGCGAACAGCTTAAAGAAGCATTGTGCCATAAAATTGTCATGAAAAATGAAGTAGCAGAACGTTTTTGCTACGCGGAAATTGAGTAATTGAAACAAATGTTTGAGAATCTTTTAGGGGTTTGATGAAGAGCTATACAGTTCTTTCAAAGCCGTTACCCTTATAAGCTAACCTAGGGGTGAGGGATAATTTCATTCAAGTACTAATTAGACTACCAGTAATCTCTCTTTTTTCTTGGCCCGTCGAGCGAAACGCTCGAGACATGAAATGACCACGCGCGTGACTGATGGCGCGAGACGGGATCGCCACCCTCGTCCCTCGATTCTTGCGGCTTCGCCGCCCAAAGCTCGCGCGCCCGTGCGCTCCCCTCTCTAAATCTGAAGAAAAAAAGAGAGACTGCTTGCAGTCTACAAATAACGTGAAGTAGCCCCCGCCCCGCCCCGTCTTAAAAAAGTATCTGACTCGTGGCTTTAATGGGCATTTCCGAGTTGCCCCTAGCCTTTGTTTCAAAGAGAGGCTATGAATCTCATGAAAATAAAGCTCATTTTCACAGGAAAGGGTTTTCCCCTTATCCTTGTTTTGAAGGTGAGAGTTTTGGAACTCGGAAATGGCCCATTTTTTTCTAGGTTGCTGGTTTCTTACTATTCAAATAGAACAATGTCCATCCTTCAACACGAGTAGAAGCGCGAATAGAGTGGTGAGCCGTCTGATAGAAGGACAAAAATTATAAGTCAGTTCGACAGCTTGTGTACAGTAGAATCCATATTTTTAAAAGACGTTAGAACCAATCGGCTATTTCTGACTTGCATCAAGACTCTGTTTTAAAGCTAGGTTAACTGCTTTTGATATGAAAGTGAGTTTCTATTGTCATTCAAATAAATGACATTTTCACTTAGCCTCAGTTTGAAAGCGAGGGTTTTTGGAACTCGGAAATTACCTTTATTCAGAATACGTAAAAGTCTAAATTATTTATTAATAAAGAATATAATCTCGTAGCCTCACGGCAGGCCAGAAAAAATGTTCGAAATCAAGGCACGTTGAGATTACTACATTTATTGGTGTCCCACTTTTGCCTTCAATACTAAAAATGTAAACCGGTATGTAAATGGTGGTGAACAAAAGGCCTGTAATTATGAAAACTATTAATAACATATTACATGCTTTTAAATGGTGAATGGTGTCTAAATACTAAATGAAACGTGAACGTTTCAGGGGAAACATTAAACTGCAGAAACGTTATTTTTATTCACGCCGGTACCTCGACCTGACTACTCTTGGTTCCTCCCAACATGTATGTACGTCAAAGGAAATCGTTGTTTCGAGTCTACCTACATCCTCCATAAAACGTTAAATTAGGTAATTTCACATGGCAGTCGGGTGATGACGACGGAGAAATGTACGAAGTGGTGCAAGTGCAGGGTTTAAGGCTGGTTTTCACTAGCGT